GGCGCGGCCCCCCGCAAAAGGAAGAAGAGGAAAAGCGCGTCGCATGCGATGGGCCTGTGGATGCGGCTGCGCGCGCGCCCAAAGATTGCCGAGGTCCGCGGGCGGGCATATCCCGCCCAGGGTGCCCAAGACAAGGGGGGAACTTCTGAAATAACCCTGCGCGCGCGATGCACGCCGGGACGAAGCGTCGGCGCAGGGGGGCCACGCTGGCATCCCTGCTCCCAAATGTCACCTACAGTGTCACCTACCCTGTCTCATCCTTACTTTTGGCGGCGCAACTCTGGACCCTTTGCCTGCTGATTCTCCTCGTGATGGCAGTGTCCTTTTTCGATGTGCAACCTGGCGTGCCGGGGGGGCTCCAGCGCCGCCACCAACTGGTCCCCCGCGTGGCCGAGCCCGGAAAAAGGCGGCCGTCTCCTAGATAGACAGTCGCGAAGCCAAGCTGGCGTCGCTCTCCCTGGTCTTGCCATGGTAGGCCCACCCGATTGTCTGCGCTCTACGCGCGGCGGCCTCTACGCGCGGCGGCCTCCGCGCGCGCTGGAATACTCGCGCGGTCGCGCTGCCCCGAGAGTTCGATACTGTGAAGCAGCGTCTCGTGCTCGGTCACTCCACGCTGCCCCAATATGTGCGAGCAGCTGCTGTGGGACATCAAATGATGATCCACAGGGGTGAGCCGGCGACGCAAACTGCTGAAGCGCCATCCCATGCTCCTGGGACGGTTCGCGGGAAAATCCGACAACTCCTCTGTTGGTAGCTGTCGACCGCGTCCCTCCAGTCGCGGGCCCGGCCGGCCATGCTGGCTGAAAGTTAAAGACGAAGGTTCGAGCATCCTGAGCAGGAAAGAAGTCGGCCTTCGAACGTGGGGTCACCCGTGTTTCGAAGTCCACCTTGCCCTCGTCATTGAGCTGTACGAACACGGGCTCGTTCCCAGCGGGCGAGCAAACACCCGAAATTACCAGCCTGGAACATATCCCTGTCCCTAAGCTGGGCATCGCCTCATCACAATGCCAATCTTAGGGGTTCCCTTAGCTTTTTAAGTCGCATCCCTAAGATAATCATCGCCTTTTGGCCTGGTGACCGAAATGCCTGCACGGACTTCTCGCCAAACAGGTCACTGATCGCCGCTCGCTGGCCACTCGACATTCTCACGGTTGGACATGGCACTGGGGTCCCCGCCGCGGTAGCAGCCCGGGCCACGTACTTTTTGATGCTGTCGTCCTCGAGGTCCCCGGCCCGGAACTCATACGCAGGGTCGGTGAACGTGACGGGGAGGCGGCTGTCGGCAGCACGGCGTATCCACTCCACCGGGATCTCGTGAGGATCGCCTCTTTCCACCGTCTCCAGTGGAGATCCCCGCCGGGAGCTCCCACCACCGCCCAGACCCCTTCAAAGTGGATGCCGGCAGCGGCAAGACCAATTGAGTCGCGGATGCTGAAGATCGCCCCGGGCCGGGCGCGGGCCTCCTCGCGCCTCGCCGCCTCGCGCGGCGGGCGCGAGGGAGTCGCGCAGGTCGCCTGCGGGCAGGTCGGCGCCGGCGGCGCTGGGCAGGCGGGGCTCGCCGGCGGGCAGCTCGGCACGGGTGCCGGGCACGGTCGCCAGGCAGGCCGGCGCCGGCGCAGAAGGCCGGGCGGCGGCCGAGCCACGCGCCGCCCGGGCTGGCCGCCCCGAGGAGGGCCGCGTGCGCCACGTGCGCCCAGACCACGCACACCAACGCCGGATGCGTCGCGAACGGCCAGGGGGGCCTCGCGAGCAAAAAGGCCTGAGCAGAGGTGGCCACGTACGGTGAACGGTGTACCAGACGGGGTAATACAAACTCGTGTGGAACACTGCGATCTGAAAGAGAGAGAGAGAGAGAAGGAGAGAGGGAGAGAGAGAGATAGAGGGGGCGGAAAAGTGGAGAAAGATAAATAGAGGAAAGAAAAGCAAGGAGAAAACGAAAGAAAGGGAGCTACATAACAAGCGAGCCCGCAATGCGTTGTGATGTTCGCAAGTGCGGGCGAACCGACATTATGAACACACCTATTGCAAAGCGGTCGAGTGCTCATACGACTTTTGAACAAAACAATATTGAAATTGTTCAGAGCCCAGCGGTTCTGAATGATTCAAAATGCGCGCACGGGGTGCGCGCGTGGCCAACATTTTATAATTCGATCGGTATCCTCACAAAACGCAACTGTTAGCGCAACGCGGGCGTCCTGCACTCTATGATCCGACATGGACGAGGAGGGTATATGCCAAGCCTGCGCAAGGGATCGTATGTGATGTCTGCTGTCATCTTAAAAAGGTGAGATGAGCCGTACGGGTGCATTCCAACAAATTCGACCCCGGCATGGGGAGAATCCGACCATTGTCTGGAACAGAAATGGCTGACCTACATCACCCACGCGTTGGCACACACACTGAGCTCGCACATCATTCCCAACAATCCACCCGCAATGTGTTGGCAAACTCAGGAAGCCGTGATATCAGCTAGCTTCAAGAACATGCTGACACATCTAGGGGGCCACGTACGAACCGTCCCCCTCAGAAATCGTGGGGGGTAGGGGTAGGGTTCGCACGTGGCCCCCTAATATCGCAACAAGCGCTGCGACGCGCTGACCAGTTTCGAACAAATCCATGGCCCAGGCGGGCGAACGACACCGATGATTCCAGCAACGGTGAAGACGATTAGGAGGATACTAAGAGGATGATGATGATGCTGATGTTGCTTGGGATGCCGATGGTGACGATTGCGGAGGCAACCGGAGATGACGATGCCGACGGTGGTGACGATGACGACGGTGACGAAGATGATGATCATGAGCATGACAAGGTGACGGGGGACACTTCAGGTTTTGTGACTTCAGCATGCGGGCGCACAGAAAGTCTGTCATTTTCCACTGCGGTGGCACATGTTGTTGCATTTGTTTGCAGGTGCACATCCTGACACGCTTCAGACAACAATAGCTGGTCCATGTGATTTCGACATGCGCCCGCCTGGGCGTGCGCATGGCCCATATGGCATGTTTGCGCAGATGTGACGGGTGGGCGATCTTAAACAATTGATGTGGATATGCGCCCGTACGTGACCCGCGTGGTCTTGTCTAAGAGGGATGACAACGATCACTGGCTCCATGATGGGCTGAACACATGCAAACGCACAATATTCTGAGAAGCACTACTGAAACGCCACGGCTGGTTCACATCGTTTTGACGAGCCCAATTGTGGAATGGTGCAGCAACGAACGTTGGGGAATATTCCTGCATGGGTCCGCGGAACCGCGCGGGTGTGGACCACAACGTGCTACTAGTAGGTAGTCTTGCACAACGCGCTAGGCAGATCAAAGCGTGGTCACTGCATAGTAGTAGTTGGCAAGGGCAAGGGGGGGCGATCACGGACTGCATGCGTACGATGAACGATCGAACCAATCAAAAGAAAGAAACACATGTCAGTACAAAAATCCACACGGGCAAGTCCGCCTTCCGAATTGGGGTGCGGCATTACAGTCATCGGCCTGACCTAAGGAACGATAAATAAGGAACGAATCCCCTTTTTTATCCCAAGGGATAACGCATAAGGAACGATAAATAACAAATAACGCATAAGGAACTGTAGATAACGCATGCAAGCCTAAGGAACGACCGAGCCCCTTTTGAAAAGCAAGTGTTCCTTGGGGTGAAAAGAAATGCTCAGGACTGCGTTGGGAAGTGCGGGACGAGGACGGGCTGCAAAAAGCCACAGAATAGGGGGCCTGCGACGCGCAGGCGCTGCTTGGAACAAAAGAACACGCTGCGCTTCCGTGCTGCTGGCTTTCGTGAGTGAAGGGGCCCACAAACACACAAATAAATACACACAAATAAAAAGATTCCCAATATTTTCCTATATTTTCTGGGTTTCTGTCTTCCCCCCATTTCACATATTTTCGCATATTTTCCTCGGAATCGACGAATAATTGTGTCTGTGTGTTTTTTTTCCCTCCTGAGTGAGGGCAGTTTCGAAATGATCCGCGTTTTCGTGGTGGCTATCTTGGGACTCTTTGGGTACATCGTGGGGGGCTCTCGGAGCGTGGGCAAAGGTGGTGCAACGCCGACCCGAACGAATCCGCAAGCCTGATTCTATGCTGCATGTTTGCTATCGTGGCTTCTCTTCGGTTTGGGCCTGTCGTGGATATCTTTAGGCCCTCTCCGGCGGCCCTCCCAAAACACTCCAGGAGCACCGCTGGACACCTCTGCTTAGTGCGGCTGTTTGCAACCGTGCGTCCTATGGGGTAGGGTTTCCACCTGCTTGAAACGGGCACCAAAAACAGCCACGATCTACTCTATGGGGGGAGGGGGGAGGGGGGGGGGAGGGCCCACGCCGATCGGCAAAACAACGAATAACAAAAATGATCACTCTTCAATGTTTCTGGCGTCATGGGCATCCTTTGGGCAGGCTTTTATGGGGACCTTAGGAGCATATTGGGACGACTTGGCTGCATCTTGGGGCCCTCTGGCGCTGTGTCCCACCTGGAGCCATGTTGGGGCACTCTGCTGGCTGTCCTGAGGTGTCTCGGCGGCAAGGGGACAAGGTGCCAGCAGCTCCTTGGAGAAGGGGAGCGTACACCCTGCGAAATGCTTAAGAAATCATGGGTTAAGAAATTCATAGTCTCAGAATTTGAAAAAAAAACCCAGAATGTCTATTCAAATCTTAGGATCTATATCGAAACGTTAAGAATAATCGAGACCCTGGCAGAAAAATTAGGTTTTCTTAAGCATCGCCTAGGGTGTAGGGTTCCTGAGCCCCTGGACCCTTGCACTGGCATGTCTATAGAGAGACACACGAACCAACACATGCACAGGCAACAAGTGCGAACACAAAACCTCCGTGCTGAATGAACACGTGGCAACAATGTAGCTTCTTCGAACTCTCTTCCCTGCATCGGGAAGCGGAGTGTGAATGTACATACGCATGCGCAAACAGGACGATCCCGCTGTCACTGACCCTGCAGGCTTCTTCCTGTGGCAATGACACGGTGGCGCGCCTCTCTAATGGCAGCGACTTGAAGAACTTCGCGAACGTAGTCGCGCTTTCTCCTCCATCCTTGGAGTGCAGCCGCGGTGCTCGAAACCAATCACAACAGAAACATCATACCAATGACACGGACAACCTCCACCCACGCGGGCCAGCCTGCCTCACAACGAGCACTGTTACAACAATTAGCCTACAGCGTAAAATGAATGCACCCAGCAGGAGTCCAAGATGCGGGGAACAGCAAAGCGTACGAAAGTCCATCAGCATCATCATCAACAGCATCAGCGTCAGCAGCATCATCAGCAACAACATCATCAGCATCGTCGACAGCACCAGCAGTAGCATCATCGGCAACATCAGCACCACCAGTATCAGCATCACAAGCATCACCATCGTTTGCATGATCATCTGCAGCAGCGCAGCAACAGCATCGTCATAAATAGCAGCAGCATCAACGTCAGCACCATCATCATCATCATCATCATCATCATCATCATCAGATTCATCATCATCATCGTCATCATCGCCATCATCAACATCATCAGCATCATCGTCATCATCATCATCATCATCATCATCATCATCATCATCATCATCATCATCATCATCATCATCATCATCATTCGCGTCCTGTCTTCCTCCTCTCCTCCACTTCCTCCTCCTATTCATCCTCCTCCTCTCCTCCTGCTCTTCCTATCCTCCCCCTCCTCCTCTTCCCATCCCTCTCCCCCTCCTCCGCCTCCCTCCTTGAGTTCACTGAGAGATGCGTGTGCGTGTGATCGCGTTCCGTCAAGGTCCTTATCCTTCTGCTCGTCCTCCTCCTCGATGTCCCTCCACCCTCCTCCTTCTCCACCCTCCTCCTCCACTTTGTCTCCCAGTCCCCGTCCTTCTTATCCATGTCCTCCGCATAATCCGCATCATTATCAAGAGCCTCGAAGGCATATAGATGGGTCACTCCTGGGTCTGCTCAGGCTGATCTCGAATTTGTGGCTTGCAACCTTCCCCGTCGTTCTTTCACTGCGTGTTCCTACACTTGTCTTGTGAGGGCAATCTCATGGCACTCGTTTCCGCATGGCCGTGTGGGGGCACGCGAAGCATCCAAAAATTCCAACCGACAGAGCATGCACCCAACTTGCAGCCGCCTACTCGCCCCTACATCAGCATATAACGAGTCCTCCTTCGACTTGAACTTGACGCACTGCACAGTGTGTAGGCTGTGCTCCCTTCAACATCGTACAACGAGACGAGCGTGTGACAACAAGCGACAACCAAAACAATACTGGACACGTTCATCATGACTTGCCGCATGTATCAACTCTACAAATATGCAACCAAACTGTATCATCCGCCACTATGCCTTCGGTGCGCCGGGTAGCGCAAGAGAGTGCGAGAGTGCCTTCAGTGCTGCGAGGGCCGACCCCCCTTCTGGCGCGTGGGTTCCAAAATCCGTCGCCCCTGGTTTCGCTCTCCCAAATTCACCTCGGCCGACGAGCGGCTCCAACACGGCCGAAGACAACCCCCAACTCGCAGCAGCAGCAAGACGCCCAGCCATCATTATTCAAAGACGACGCTACGGACTGCCAAACGATTCAAACCTTCCCTAACATGCCTCAGGAGGCTCGGAAAAACTTCCACGAGACGCCCGAAAAGGATTCCAAAGAGACCATCAGAAATGAAACGGTTGAAAACTGAAGGACAACCAGTACGTATGACTAGCTGCCGCTGCTATTTAGCTTCAGATCGCCTCGAGGAACCTTCAGAGAAGGCCAAGAGCCCCCAAAGACGGCCCCACGAGCGCCCCAACACAGTGCCAAAAGCATCCAAACACGGCCCCAACAAAGGTACAACACGCCTGATAGCCGTCCAACAACTGTCCAGACAGCGTTCACAAGCTAAAATAGCTTCCGAAGATGGCCAAGCAGGCCCCAAACAAATATGTACTCGCAGAGACCTTCAGCAAGGCCTTGAGATGAGATGGACGTACGGGGAAGTCAGTGTTGTTCGCTTCTGAGGCTGTTCAGCTTCAGATCGAATCGGACACGTCTCAGCGTGACCGAACTGAGAGCTCATTTTTCGGCTTCCAGACGGCACCATAACTCCCCCGAACGGCTACAAGACGTTCCAAGACCATCTGAAGACGAGACAACTGGCCCCCACAAGCTCGAAGACCTCCAAACGACGCTCCAATGAGGCTCGAAGAGACGCTCAACAAAAAAGCCTCCAACGAGGCCTTCAGAGGCGAAGCAAACCGAACAGTCTAACACACAATACATGCTTTTGAGGTGTCTTCTGGAGCATTTGGGATTAAGATCGCCTCTGGAAGGCTTCAGAGAGCCTTAAGACACCCAAAAGACGGCCCCACTACTTCCCGAAAAGGCCCCCCGCGTGGCCCCAAGAACCTCATCTACATCCCCAAGAGGCCTTGACGGAGGGATGAGGAAGAAAGAGGTGAAGGAGGCTGCGGATAAGGAGTCGGGGTTCAAGATCCGCGCCAGTTCACAATTGCCGCAACATGCGCATGCTACACATACGATGCGGAATATATTCAGTGGGGCATGCACTGCCTGCCATGCATAGCCATTGGCATTGTCTGAATGTCCGCTGCTCCTAGCGCGGTTGACTTCCCTGGTCATCGCGACTGCCCACCCTGGACAACATCTTGGTCTGATGAATTGTCATTATCATAATTACCTAATAAATTTCGATTGGCTTTGCACGTGTTACAGTCCGCGCTGCTCAAATCCGCTGACCTCCGATTGCCAGGGGTGCAAAGGCGTATGAGATGATTGGCTGTCCCCCTCCCCCTTTCCCCTTTGCCCTGGGTGTGAAATCAGCTTAGAGGGGGGGGCCGGGGGGGGCCCCCTGGGATCCTCAACGCTGCCCCGGGGCCTCCGGAGCCTCCATTTCTTCACTGCTGGCCTCCAAGATGCCCAAGATTTCGTTCGAGCTTGCTCAAGCTGGGCTCGGCTCCAACACGCAAAAGAGGCATCAAAGACAATTAAAGTAGCCTCAGGATGACCCAATACGCCTCCGAGACGCCCCCAGACAGCTCCAGGAGGACCCCCAATATAGCCCAAGAGGCCAACACAGCTCCACCTCCACGAGAGCACTTCAATGTTTAGCATATTCACCGTATTGGCTTCGACAACGCCCAAAGCGGCCCAAGAAGCCCCCAAAATCGCTCCAATACGGTCCGACATGTCCCTAAGAGGCCCCCCGAACGGCCCAAAAGGGCTCAGCAAAAACAACAAGGAGGGCCCTTTAGGGGGACAGCACCACGAGGACACCCCGAAGCCTCCAGCAGGCGTTCAGCAGACCCCAAAAGAGGCTCCAGGAGGCCCAGCAGATGCGCACAGTGGCCTCCCAAGCGGTTCCCAAAGGGTGAAGGGCCTCACCCGTGGACTTCGCTTCTCTCTGGGGGGGTCGGCGGGATAGCGTAAACCACATACTGGGCATCGCTCGGACGTCCATTTCCTGTGTTTTTGTCGGTTTCGTGCGTGTTTTTTTTCGCCAAATGATCAAGGATGCTCCTCGAAGGTTCTCGCCGAAGGAAAAATGCACACGTCCGAGCGATGCCAAGCTTATACATAATCGAAGTGCGCACGTTCGCTATCTATCACGCTGCCGCTAGAGCTGCACGGGTCCGCAATAGCATCACCGCCAACATTCCGACTTCGTTACCTTCAGCGGTGACTGGTGTGGATCCGCGCTGGTTGAGCTATATGCCCAACGCTAAGAAGAGAGCTCAAAAACGGCATCAAGAGTCGACAGAACGGCCTACAGACCCGCCTACATTTACAACGAGGAAATCCCCAGATGTGCATGTCATAACTCCTCTCACGTCTCGCTGATGAAAATTGTCCGTGCGCATCTGGGTGCGGGAGCGATGCCGCGTGGAGAAAAGGCGCAACAACGATGACGACAGCGACGACTTTAGTGACGTCCTCCTCTGTACATCTTTCATGAGAGGCGAGGGAAGCACAAATGGAAGAGCGAGGGAGAATTCCTCTTGCCGTTCTCACTGCGGCAACTCTGGAAAACGCACATGGCGTTTCTACGCCCGCTTTCTGGCGTGCTACTCGCGGCGCCTGCTGGAATTCAGGCCGGCTATGTCGTGGTAGCGACTTGCGTGCGAGCCTGAGTGCGAGCGAACGAATATGAGCGTGAGTGATCTGAGTGTGAGCGAGTCCGAGCGAATCTGGGTATTATTGAATCTGGGTGCGAGCGAGTCTGACTGCGCGTTGGTCAGAGTGCGACTGAGTCTAAATGTGAGTGAGTCTAAGTGCGAGTGTGTGGAATACAGATATGGATATGGGTGCGAGTCTGATCTGAAGGTGAGCGAGTCTGAACCTGCCTGAGTCTAAGTGTGAATTAGAGTCTGAATTTGTGCTCGAGAATGAGGGAATCTAAGTATGAACGGATCTGGCTATCCATGAATCTGAATACGGCTGAGTCCGAATGTGGCGAGTAAGTCTGAATGAGGAAGAAGTGCTGATGAGTAAGTCTGAGTGTGAATGAGTGCGCCTGAGTGAAGAAATTGAGATGGAGGCGGCGGTAGAGGTTAGCGAATGAGTGAGGAGGACGCACATCCAAAGAGAAGTCTGGGGGGGGGAGCAACAAGCTAACCACCGGAGACATCGCCGCAATCTGATCGGGAATCCGGGAGTGTCCGCACCCCTGGTGGCTCCCCCTTGGGGTGCCCAAGTGCAACGCCAATTAGATCGCGGTGGGCAACGGCCCACCCAAAACGAAAAGGTCGGGGGGCAGAAACAGACAAACCGCCTGAGATTTCCCCACAACCTGGGCGCGAACGGGCCCGTGAAATACACCTTGGCGGTTCCCAAATGCCACGCCTGCTCGATCGTGGTGAGCAATGAAAACCGTCTGGGGGGCAGGAACGAGCAAACCGCCTGCGACATCCCCAAACTATGGGCACGGTAAGGCGAGTGTCACACACCCTGGCGGTCCCCCTTGGGGTGCCCAAGTGCCACGGCTGCAATACCGCGGTGAGCACTGAATCACACTCAAAGACATGTCTGGGGGGCAGACACACGCATACCGCCTGAGACATCCCCACAGTAGGGGCGCCAATTGGCGAGTGCCATAGTCACTCCCTGGCGGTTCCCCCTTGGGGTGCCTAACTGCCACGCCTGCTGTACCGCGGTGAGCAATGGACTGCTCAAAAAGAACAATCTGGGGTGCAGACACAGCAAAACCGTCTGCGACATCCCCACAGTATGGGCGCGAATTGGCGAATGTCATTCTTTCTGGCGGCTCCCCCTTGGGATGCTCCACATGCCACACCTGCTACATCGCGGATGGTGGTAAACCACAATCAATATTCTCGAGAAGATCCCAACCATCTGCAATTGTGAGTACCGCGTAGTGGGTACCGCTTTCGGTGGGGCTCCCTATGGGGCCACGACCCTCGTGAGGGGTGCGCCGGTATAGGCGGGTGCCGCATGCGGACCCTGCCGCTGGGGCCTTCGGTGGAGCTCCCTATGGGGTCACGGTCCTCGTAAGAGGTTTGCCAAAATGGGCGGGGGGGGACGCATGCGGACCCTGCCACTGGGGCCTTGGGTGGAGCTTCCTGTGGGGCCACGATCCTCGTGAGAGGTGTGCAAATGTAGGGGCACGCATGCGGACCCTACCACTGGGGCCTTCGGTGGAGCTCCCTATGGGGCATTATGGGGCCACGATTTTTGTGATGTGATGGGTGCGCCGGAATAAGCGGGGGGACGCATGCGAACCCTGCTACTGAGGCCTTGGGTCGAGCTTACTATGGGGCCGCGATCCTCGTGAGAGGTTTGCCGAAATTGGCGGGGGGACGCATGCGGACTCTGCCACTGGGGCATTCGGTGGAGATCCCTATGTGGCCACGATCCTCATGAGGGGTGTGCCGAAAGGGGCGGGGGGACGCATCTGGACCCTTCCACTGGAGCTGCCTATGGGGCCGCGATCCTCGTGAGGTGTGTGCCGAAATGGGCGGGGTGGACGCATGCGGACCCTGCCGCTGGGACCTTCGGTGGAGCTCCCTATAGGGCCATGATCCTCGTGAGGGGTGGTGTGCCGAAATGGGCAGGGGGACGCATGCGGACCTGCCGCTGGGACCTTCGGTGGAGCTTCCTATGGGGCCACGATCCTCGTGAGGACTTCGCCGGTATAGGCGGAAGGACGCAGGCGGACCCTGCCGCTGTCTCAGCTGGGGCTTCCCTGGAGCTCC